TGAATAGACTTGGACACTAGGGTCAAGACGGAGCCCCGGCTGCATTTTCCAAACCTTATTTTCATGTGCCATCAAGCTCTTCTGTGCACTGCTGCTCATAACAGTTCCAGCTCTTCTCCACAACCTCTCAAGGCCAGGACTGTCCTGGTGAGGAGGCTTCAAGTGCTTCTAGCATTGTTCTTATCATGACAGAAGGTTCTTTATGACTTTGAGTGCCAGTAATGTCCCTTCCATTAGAGTTCTGTCTTCTGGTCTGATGCACCCTATATGTCCACCACCAGAGGGCAGACACTCCCTGCTGCTTTGGGGCACACAATCATGCTTACAGGAAATGGCAGGAAAAGGGAAAACACATAAAATATGAGCAACACAGAGCAGCCCAGAAGAGAGGGGGAAGATGCTCCTCCCACCCAAAAGTTGCACTTCTCCCAGGATAAGCAGAAGAAGAGAGACTGCTCTTTAGGGGGCAGTAGAAGGTTCTGGTTTGGAGAGGTGATAAGGGGTGTGTGTGTGTGTGTGTGTGTGTGTGTGTGTGTGTGTGTGTGTGTGTGTGTTGGAAGGTGATCACCAGAAAGGTGGAGAAGTTAAGTGGGGCACCAGGAAGCTGATGCTCTGTTCAGAAACAGCCTAGAAAGGTCACTGATGCTGACAGCCATGGGGTCCAGCCACAGAAAGGAGCTCAGGGCCTGACATTTGTCCCTCTGAGCTGTCCTGTTTCCTACTAGATGCAGAACTAGGCAAGATACCAGGGTACCTGAGCCCCTAGAGGACAGTATCCATATGAGCATCTAACACCAAGATTAACTGGAAACACTGAAGGCCAGGAAGTAAGGGGCAGGTGCTGTGGTCACTGTCACAGCCATGTAACCCAAGAACATGAGGAACCAGCTTCCAAGTAGAAAGAGGCTGGGTGTGGGGCTGCTCATCTCAGTGCTATGGGAGCAGCTGGGGAAGAACGAGGGTGTCTTGGGGTTTAAGGGTGTTCACAAGCACCTGCTGTGGGTGTGGTTCTGGCCTGGGTATGGGGGACAGAGCTGTGTTCTGGACTCCTTCTTCAAGGAGCACCTATAGGATGGTAAATACCAACTAGTGACAGGCAAGGATACAGAAGGGCACCCTGCCATATGGAATGCTCTGGGAATGCTTACCGGAAGGGCTGTATGGGACCTTGGAGGATTAGTAAGGGGTGAGCAGGAGCAAACAAGTGGGAAGGCTTTCCTAGTGTGCAGAAGAAGCAGCTGTGGGTGCAAGCACACATGTGTGCCCACTTCCTATATCATGTCCTCCCACAGCAGAAAAGATGATGGAGTGAGGAATCTCTCCAGGGTCTCTAATATAAGGGAATGGATCACATTTGAAGGTGTGCACTCCTGACCCACAGGCCTCACCTTCAGATTCCCACCCAGTGGAAATGAGCTTTCAACATATGAAGTTGGGGGACAGGAAACCACACTTTCAGTCTGTAGTGAAGGGTTTCTGGGTTTGGTGTAGGGTTAGGTTTCCAGTCCTAGAGATTTAACCCAGGTTCTCACACTAGGCCAGAACTCTCTCACTGAGCTACATCCCCAGCCCTTTTTATTGTTTTGTTTGTTTTGAGACAGCCTCACTAAGTTTCCCAGACTGACCTGGACCTACTTTGTAGATCATGCAGGCCTTGATCTTCCTGCTTCAGGCTTCCAGGTAGCTGGGATTACAGGCCTGCACCATCAGGCCCAGCCAGCAAAAGGTCTTAAACACAGTGCAGTGTATCCAGATTTGTGCTAGGGAGAGACCATTTTGATACTATGGGTCTTTGACAGTTGGGGAGAAATAGGGTAGGGTCATCCCAAAGTGGGACAGTAGAGCAGAGAGGAGACTGGCAGCACATACTGAGGACAGCAGGATGGGCAGGCAGAGCACAGTGCCTGTGCTCTGGGCCATGTGACCAAGGGGTGCCTGGAACATCTGTCCGAATAAGCAATTTCCAGATAGTAATGAATTGGAGAAAAGGCTCTTTGCCTTTCTTGGATGATTTTAGAGTTTAGAGGCCAATGTCTCTCTCTCTGTCTCACTCACTCTCACGCGCACGCACGCACGCACGCACGCACGCACGCACGCACGCACACCAAGCTAACTCTGATCTGTCTTGTGCCATTAGGCAATATGGTAGATGGGGACTAAGAATCCTTACACTCTCTGCGCCCCTCCCTTTCCTCCCTTCCCATCTCCATCTTTGGATGAATTAGGTCTGGGAACATTCACATGTATCTGGGGGGGTGGGAGGACTCTCTCTCTCTCTCTCTCTCTCTCTCTCTCTCTCTCTCTCTCTCCTGGGCAGAGAGGGACTGAAGAGCGAGGCTTGAAGCATTACTGGTTCACATCCTGGCCTGACCAGAAGACCCCAGACAGGGCACCCCCACTCCTGCACCTGGTACGGGAGGTGGAGGAGGCAGCCCAACAAGAGGGGCCCCACTGTTCCCCAATCATCGTTCACTGCAGGTGGGTTTTCCTGTCCACCCACTGGGGTGGGGCCACCCCCATCCCTGGGCTACTGTGCGCCTCACCCCATCTATCCTCTCGACCGGCCCTCAGTGCAGGGATTGGGAGAACTGGCTGCTTCATCGCCACCAGCATCTGCTGCCAGCAGCTGCGACGGGAGGGCATCGTGGACATCCTAAAGACCACATGCCAGCTCCGCCAGGACAGGTCAGCCCCTGGTCCAGGGAGGGGAGGGTGGCAGTGTGATGTGTGCATGAATCGAGGGGCGGTGAATCAACCAGACATAGTCTGTAAGGCAGATGGGGAGCAGAAAGAAACAAATGGGAGAGAGCAGAATCCAGGCAGCTCTCTGGAGGAAGACAGAAGACAAGCCGCTGGCGGGAAGGACAGGGGCTGAGAACAAGGGTGTGTCCCTGAAATGAAGGGGCAGAGGGCAAATGGCTGGGAAGAGTTGCTGTCTCTGAGCTACAGAACGCTGGTGCCCCTAGCGTTTGAGGACCCCTCCCGCAGCTCACTGCATCTCTGCTGGCCAGGGGTGGCATGATCCAGACATGCGAACAGTACCAGTTCGTGCACCACGTCATGAGCCTCTATGAGAAGCAGCTGTCCCACCAGTCCTCAGAGTGACCGCGCTCTTCCTCTGAGCTCCTCCGGGCACTGCCCAGCCTGAGTCTGGGCCTTCACCCCAACAACCTAAGATCTGGCCTTGGGCCCTGGGCCTGCTCCCTGTCCCTTCCCCTCACCCTTCCTTCTCTTCAGTCTGCTCCCCCTCTGTTGTCCTGGCCTGGTCCCTACCCCCAGCCTAGCTCTCCCACTGTACATACTGCAGAGTTGGGGAGGGCAGGGGAGGAACTGCCAGGCCAGGCCTGGGGCCCCTGGGCCTGACCCACACCGTACAGACCTGGGGCCTCAGTTTTAACCATGGTTCCACTGCTACTTGGTCCAAAATGTTTCCATGCCACACCCCAAGTGTTCTACCACTACGTGCTCTGTCTGTCCATCCATCTCTGCTCTCTGTACCAGACACTGTGTCCCCTCAGGCAGGAAAGGAACACTGAACTGAGCTCTAGACCCTCAGCCCCTCCCCCAGCCCCCAAGGCAGAGGTACCTGCCTCTAGCCCCACCAGCTCCTCTGAAAAGGCAGATTGCATTTTGCCACCAGGATGTGGACAGCAGGAACAGGATCCAGAGAGCAGGCAGGGGAGCACGTGGTGGTTAACAGAGAGACCCCAGCTAAAGAAGAAGGTTCCTGGGCAAGGGTGGGCATTATTCTAGACGCCTTCTGAGTGTTTGATACTCTCAGGAGGCAATGGCCAGCCTGTGAGGCACTGGAGAGGAGGAGGACAGATGCAGGTGGGGAACCCCAAAGAGCCGGGCCCTGAGGGGGGCCTCCAAGAGTAGGATGGGGACTCAACTCCAGACCTGTAAGACATCTTTCTGTGTCACCACGGGGAAGCCCAAAAGTCTCGCTGGCTGTGTGTTGCTCTGTGTGTGTTCCCTGTGTCCATGTACGTGTTGAGAGCCCATGAGCAGGGGCGTGCATGACTCTTTGGCAACATGTGTTATCTGGGAGCCACGTGTTTTTATTGCTGACTTTAAATATTTATTCCACGGCAAACAGAGACATTTGGTGTCTTTTTATAACTCGCTCGTGGTCATTGATTAGAGCAATAAAGAGAGCATTTGGAGCAAAACTAAGTCTCCTGGGTCTGTCATTGCCGGTTCCTTCCATCCCCAGCCTCCTTGCAACCCAGGGTTTTGTGCCTCTCCTCTGCCCGTGCGCATACAGTTGGCCCTCTTGCTCACTGGCGCCCCTTGTGGAGATTGGGAATATATGTGAAGCCGGATTTGAAAAGACAAAGTCTATTAATACCTGAGGATTGCAATTCAGCCTTCAGCCCCAGCCCACAGAACTACACTGTACCACAGGGAACCTCACAGATGGAAGGCAAAGCGGCTAGTGGGTCACCAGCTAGAGAGCTGCTCCAGGGAGGCCAAGGGTGGGGCAAGGGGGCATTCCCCTCTCTGATTGGATAGTATACTTCTGTTCTCTGGGACCCCCATCTGAGCTTCAGACACCTTTATCTTTTCCTATTGTCTGTGCCATCCCCTCCATGGTTGAATCTTTGAAGACCCTGTTGGCTGGCCAGCAGCCTGCCCTGGGGTGACCTCCATTTTTACCATCAGTGGATGACAGCTTCATCTTAGGGCCAGGGGAGAAGAACAGAGCAGAAGTGTCCCAGATGGCTTAGAACCTAGTTCCCTGGGGCCCTTTGGGAGGGACTACTCTCAGTCCAGGCCTTCCAAGGGAAACTACTGGGTTGCAACTGTTACTGGGCCCCACAGAGCCAACAGGAGGTCAGTGGACTGGTCCAACAGGTCCGAGGCAGGGCTGCCAGCTCACAGAGATCTCCCTTTCAGAGGATGGGCCCTTCTACCCAGATTTCAGAGACTGGACTGAGGAATAGGAAGAAGAGCTAATGTCATTCCCCTACCCCATAAGGCCACACAGTGCAGGACAAATGGTATTCCCAGGATTTGTGCAGGGTGGCACAGCCACAGGACTCACCCAACGTACCTCGTCCAGTCCTGAGAAGACAAAAGCCTTCGGCTTCACCCCCAACCCTGTCGGGCTGTATGTGCTCATGTACCCGAGCATGGACAGCAACCCTGGCCCCCTCAGCTCAGAGAAGCCCCACCCTGCAGCAGTAAGAAACAGCACCTCTACCATAAGGCACAGGAAATGGACTCCTGACCTGCCACCTCAGCTTCCCTCAGGCCTAGTCCCCAGCATTCCGTCCACAGGACAGAATCCAGCTTGCTTCCCTCCTCCAACTCCCATGGCTAAGCTTTGTGCCACCAAGTTGAAATAAGAGCCTAAGAAAGGGGTTCCCCCCCCAAAAAAAGAAAGGGATCCCCCAATGACGGGTGCAGCATCTAAGGACTAGTGACAGTCAATGCCCGCTGTTGGAAAAAAGGAGACCGACCACCCTGCTTGGCCAGGGCAGCAGCTGAGCCTCCAAGCCACAGGCACAACATTCAAGGATTGGAAGGCTCAGGTTAGTAAAGAAGGGGAGGCTTCCTGCCATTTCCTCTGGAAAGAGACATAAACTAGTACTTCCTGAGCCAGAGGGGGAGATGGAGAAAGGCAGAATATGGAATGCTCTCAGAACCCAGAGACAGAAGCAAAGATGTACAAGGTAGAAATCAGGCCAGCCTGGGCTACCAAGTGAGTTCCAGGAAAGGTGCAAAGCTACACAGAGAAACCCCGTCTCGAAAAACCAAAAAAAAAAAAAAAAAATCGGGAGTTAGTCTCAGACCACCTGCTCAGAAAAAGGCTTTGAATTCTCTGAAGAACACTGGACTAGGCAGGGCTGGTGGAGCAAGAAGCTCAGATTCTGTTCTCAGCGACAATTTGGATAGGTCACTTGAATCAGACACGTTTCTTCATATGCAAAATAGGTTCTTAAAAACCACCACGCAGGTTAACTAAGAGGCAGGTGCGTCCAGTCACCTGAAACACTAGTGCCGTCGTCAAGAACAAGAAAATGCCTTGTAAACTGGTATACGGAGATCTCCAAGGCACAGAGAAAAAGCAGGGGCAGAACTGTGTATGGCAGGCCACCTAATGTGTACAATGTGAAGGTCGCATACCCCTATCCGTGTCTGAATGGAAGGGCTTCAGTGGGAACCCCAGATTGCATCTGGAGAGCTGGGAGGTGGGAAGAAAATGTTTATGGCATCTGAAGTTGTTAATATATTAAACTACTGGTTTTAAAAAAGTATAAGAAATAAAAGCTAAGCCTCTGCCTTTGTCCTGTGACAAATGAAAACAGCTGTGGAAACACAGTCACCTGTCTCACCATTCCAAATAATGCAAGTCCCTAGGACCGAGAAAAAGTGCTAATCAGCTTCCTTGAAAGGCCTACCTCCTAATAGCATAGTCAGAAATCCCTCCTTTGGCCTGACTTCATTTCCTCCTGATGAAACGCCCAGCACTGTCTTCCTCTCCCATGCACCTCTCAACAGGTATCCTAGCTCCCTGTGAGCCCTACTCAGCTATCTGAGTAGGTTTAAGCCCCAGATCCTCCCTCTCCAGGAACCTGGGATTGTTTGTGTTGCTGGGTGAAGGAACAGGCCCGCTAGTGATTGTAACCATTCAGGGAAAATAAAATGGGGTGTAAAGAAAAGAGAGGCCAGAGAGTAAAGGTCCATTGCCGGACTGCTCTCCTTGGCTGCGCATTCCCACCTCTTGTGTCTACAGACACAGCCCACGCACACGCACCACCTCTGAATATCCCTCCTACCCTCTTATCTTCAGGGGCCTCACCCCCTCTGTGGTCTACACAGGTGAGTGCCCACGACCACTTACCACCAGCAGACGGCACAGGAATATGTGTCCGTGGTGTTCTCCAGCTCCACCACCCACCTGTAGACCTCTCAGACAACCAAGATGGTGGGAGGCAGTGGAATGGGTGAGGGGTATGAAGGGAGGTCAGGAAAGCCTTTCTTCTTCTGTACCTACCCATGGGTGGCCTCAGTCTTTGCCATGAGTTGGCCCTTCAGGAGACCCCAATACCAGCAGCAACCTCCTCCCAACCTGTGCTTCTAATCCAAGGCTTGAGCTAGATGGCCAGATCTCTGGGAAAAGAGATTAGGAAAAAAGACGAATCCCACAGATGTGTGTAAAAGGTTGATAAACTCTTGAACTGATTAAGACATTCAGAGCCAGGGGCAAATGGGTTGCATGAATGTCACTCTTGTAGGAAGGTAGATACTTTATCTACATTGAGCAATGCTAATCCTGGTCCACTTAAGAAATGGGAGACCTGGCCACAGGCAGAGGTAAGACAAGCACATAAACAAATGCCCTTAGCAATCAGGCTCTGAATCCTTGGGGGCCGGACTTGAAGGAGACAGCAACAGCGATGGAAAGCTGAGAAGGGGTCTCAGAGCAGGACAGACGGTTTCAGCTGAGTCTCTGGTGGAAGCTGTTAAAAGACGCCTGGAGGCCAAGGTATTGAATATCTTTCCCCACAGCCATTATAACTACCTTCAAGGTCCCAGAAGGACAGAGTCTCACTAAGTCATCTGTGTACAAGGTCATGAGATAAACAACATACCACTCTGGCCAGTGAGACAGAGCCTTGAAGTAAAGCAGCCAAGACTCAAGGTCTACAGTCTAGACCAAAAAAATGCAAAATGGTTTACAGTCATGATTCTCAGCCCTAGCTGTGAATTGGAGTCATCTCGACAGAGGGGTGGGGCTGGAAAAGCTAGCCATGCCCGAGTTTCTCCCAGACCATTAAATCGGGAATGTTTTTTAAGCTCCTCGGGGATTCTGGTGTGCAGCCAGGGTTGACAGGAGTGACCAGCAGAGCTCAGGCAGGGAATGGGGAAACACGAATGCGAGGATAAAGTGGGGGGACGCTTGAGAGGACACCCTTCTAAAGAGAGAGATGTGGTTCACCTCCCACTAACTAGCAATCAAAATTCACACGTGACATCTTTCCTTTTTCATGGACGGTTACTTTGTTTACACATCGTGAAGGTCAAAAAAAAAAAAAAAAAGACATCTGCAGGCAAAGTACAGCCTCCACACCGCCTGTTTAGACCTCTAGTTGCTATTTAAAATCAAGCCGTGAGAGCTTCTTAACCAAATGTTTTCCATCTCAGCCGGAGTGCAGATAGCAAAAGCACCTACTTCACTGGCTGCCCTAAAGATTAGCACAATCACCTCTGATATGTGCCTCCCACCACCCAGGGCACAGAGGAAGGGCTTGTAAAGCAGAGCAATTATTATTCATTGATAACTCATCAGCCGTAAGGATCTTCTGTAGTTATACCACAGTGATAGGATAGAGCACTGGCCTAGCAGATACAAGGCCCTGGGTTCACTCCCCATCATCACAAGAAAACAAAACAAGAAGGGGATGAAGTGGGGTGTGCTCTTTCAGTTCAAATAAAATCCACAGACAGCCCCTCTGGGTTGGTAGTGTATCCTGTCCCTCACCCAGGAATCACTACTTCCAAGAAAACTAATGCTGAACCCACAGACTGGCTGAGAAAATTTAGGACAGAGTTCAGCTAAGCTACAGCCCTCCCACGGAGAAGCAGGCCCAAGTACCTTATATTAAGGGACCAGAACTCCCAGGAGAGAAGCTCAAGAGAAGATAGATAGATAGATAGATAGATAGATAGATAGATAGATAGATAGATAGATAGATAGATAGATGATAGACAGACTAGATAGATAGATGATAGATAGATAGATGATAGATAGATAGATAGATAGATGATGGATAGATAGATGATAGATAGATAGATGATAGATAGATAGATGATAGATAGATAGATAGATAGATAGATAGATAGATAGATAGATGATAGACAGAATGATTGATAGATAGATAGATAGATAGATAGATAGATAGATAGATAGATAGATAGATAGATGATAGACAGACTAGATAGATAGATGATAGACAGAATGATAGATGGATGGATAGATAGATAGATAGATAGATAGATAGATAGATAGATAGATAGATAGATTAGATAGATTAGAGATGAACAGATAGACAGATAGACAGGTTAGACAGACAGACAGATCTCCTAAAAGGGAAGTCTCCTTTTATACATCTGTATAAGATTCAAGGTGGCCCTACAAAGATCCTTGACCACTGGAATGGTGGAGAGGTGTTAGCTCCCCCTAGTGGCTGAAATTTGGCAGAATTTGATAACGATCAACTCCAGCCACAGATGGTTTCCTGTTCTCTCTGTCCCTCACCGCCCTTGCTTTCCAGGCTCCACCCACGCAAGCAAATGTGACCCTCAATCCCTCATTGAACTCCCACCTAGAGCCTTTCCAGACCTCTCGCTTGGCCCACAGGAAGTAGTGACAAGGAAGTCGTCCAGCACAGTGTTGTTCTCCACCAGACCTGGAATTCCAGCACCCTGTCTGGGGAAGTATCCCTGAGTTCATGAGAAACCTCATCCCATCATCTCTCCTGAGAGTATGCCTCTCCCTGTGTCTCCCCTAGTCCTCTTTTTTCTCCAGCCTCTTCCACGGTGTCCCCCAATACACAAGCAAAGTATTGTATTCCTCCCTGCTCCAGGCTGGACCCTAGCTCTCCAGGAGGAGGCAAGGACTAGACAGTGCTTCCAACCTACAGGCTGTGAAGTAAAACATGGCACATTTCCACCATAGGGAATAAAGCAGTGTTCAGGGAGCCCTGGTGCAGGAAAACCTCAAACTCACCATGTCCTGAAGAGGGGGAGGGGAAAATAGCTAAGACCTTCTACGACAAAATCTACAAGGAACACAACACATGCTAAAGATGAGGCTGGACACCGAGGAGGTGGAGGCCTAGACACCTCCCACCCATTACGCACCCCTCCTGACCCCCTGCCAGGGCAGACTACAGGCCTCAGCCACCATGCAACCCCAAAACAGTGGTGGGAGAAGGGATACCACAGGATGGGAAAGGCCTTGGGGACTGAGGTGTTGCTAGAGCAAGCAAGGGCCCAAAATTATCTGCAGGGCAAGGTGACAACTCGGGCCAAGCCGGAAGGCAGGGTTACGCCAGCAGAGGAAGGCCGAAGGAGTAGCTGATCAAACTGGGGACTCAGGAAGCAGATAGCTACATAGTGAGGACAGCAAAGAGGGACCATAATGGATGCAGTGAGACCATGCTGGGGGACATAGGGTTAGGGGTGAGGCCCAGAGGTCCTGGACCCTCCAGAAGAGCCTTATCAGGGACCAATCATCCTTAAGGTATCACTCGGGATCACTTCCAGAAAAGTGCTGCCTGGCTTCAATTTCTGGCTTCCAGAGGCTGATGTAAAGCAGAGATGGGTCACCGGGAGACACTATAATGGCTAAGGTCCTTCCCCACTTCCCCACTGTGAAAGGCAAAGTTCTGCCTCCCTCCCTCAAAAGAAGTTGGTTTCTCTTCCCAAAGCCTGGTCTTTAGATCTTCTGCCCACACACAAGCTGTCCCCGAGTTTCCTCCAGGGTACCCCTCACACATGGCCAGCCATTCAGCAAGCTCTCTGAAAGCCCAATCTCACTGTGAACATGATGCAAACAAGAACCAGGACGGCTTTTATTCACTCTTGTTCCCTCAAGAGTCCAGGCTAGTGCCTGAGGTGAACAAATAAATTGCATTAAATGAAATTGCATTAAATTTCCCACTGCAGGAAAATGGAATATAAATTCCAACTCAGGAGATCCATGCCCTTTAGGAGCTCATAGCCAAGGGAAGGTCTGATGGAGAAGCTGACAATGTTGCTATGGAATTGGGCAGTCGATGCCCATATCCATGCTGCTTGCCCAGTTTTTCACACATAAGCTCAACACTCAAGCTCCCTTTCCTCTCCTCTAAAAACTCTTTTCCCATCTCATAGAAAATCTCTTGCGCGCCCCCCCACCCCCCGCCCACACACACACACATACACAATGGTCTGACTCTGATCCATCTGGAGCAGCTGACCTCAGATAATTCAGACAAGAACAGGTGTGTTGCAAGCAATGAGTACACAGATGCCATTACACCATCCCTGCTGGTAACAGAGGGCAAGCCTGTCTCCTCCTCCTGGCTTTTTCTCCTAGGAACCTAGGAATCTGACTGTCTGACTGTGCCCTCTTTCTGTCCTCAGGCCAAGAAAAACTAGATCAAGAAGCTGTGGAAGAAGATGGAAGTTTAGGGGGAAGGGGTTCCCTGCCCAGGATGCAGTTTCCTCCCCATCCAGCTGAAGCCTCTCAAAGGCTTTGTCAGAGTCCTGAGTTCAAGAGCTCACAGAGTGTAGAGGGGTATCTCAAGGCTGGTGCAGAGGGAGACAGTGAGTAACAATCTTAGTCCCCCTCTAACAATCTAGGACTCACTGACCCCCCCCAAAAAAAAAAAAGAAAAAGAAGCAGAGGGTGACAGAAGAGAAGGATGCTGGGGATTTGGGCTGAGGTACCCAAGAAGGACTTTGCAAAGGTCTACACGGAGTTAAGTTTTCCCTGACTTGGGAGAGCTGCTCAAAAAGCTCAAAGGCATAGAGGAAAGTGGAAGTAGGGGTGAGGGAGGTCAGTGCCCAGCAGAGAGCAGGGGCTTGGGCCTCAGACCTGGACTTCTCCCCTGCCCTGCACACAAACGTGTGCACATGCACACACACACACATACGCACACACGCACACTCAAAGGCAGGTTGTCTACCAGAAATGCAGAGAGAGAACCTGTCACCCTCCTACCTTTACTCATTTCACACACACCCCAGTTGCACGCATGTGGATTCAGACAGATCTGGGTTCTACTGTCTTAGGTATCTCTCCAAGTTTCAGTTTCTACATCAGCAAAAATTATATTTCTCTCTTGTATTTGTTTTCAGTTGTCATTTACTTGCTCATTCAGCAAACTCTTGCTAAGCACTGACCATATAATTATAGAGAATGTCCTCGGCCCAGGCACATAATGACTATTCTGTGATTGGCAGTTCCTTCCTCATCTCCTACAATCCTACTCTTCCATCTTCCAGTTGATCAATGAACTTGGTGAGGCATGGGGTGTTACCGAATGAGTGTGGATCTTAAGGGGTTGCCTCCAGGACGGTGGGCACAGCCTAGACAAATGCCTCTGATCCTTGCACTTTGTCGAAACAATCTCTCAGGTCATTAGGATTTTAAAGGCACCAGAAGACATAGAGACCAAAGTTGACACCACCGCGGTCTTTGACCGCATTGTGGAGCTGAAGGACCCCAACATTGAAATGATAGGGGTCATGGTGGGGAGCACCTAGCCAGGTACCACCCTGGCTCCACCATGGCTGCTGCACCTTCTGCCTTCTCAGACCCTCTCATTAGCTATAAGCCAGGTCCTCTCTTCTAGCCAACCAAGAGGACATCTTCTGAGAACATTGAAAGAGGCTGGTTCCTAGACTTTGTTTCTAGTTATTCTACCACTTCATTTTGATGTGAAATGGTCACTTTCCTCTTTCCATGACTTAGTCTACCCACCTTCAAACAGAATCTAGCTTGAAGTAAATAACTCTGAAGGTCACTGAAATCTTGCTCCTAGGAAAAAGTATCTAATGGATTCATACACATTAAGAATGTGGACCTTCCTCTACATATATGTGATAGTTGTGTAGCTTGGTCTATTTGTGGGACTCCTAACAATGGGAGCAGGGGCTGTCCCTAATGCTTTGGTTGGCTCTTGGGAACCTATTCCTCATATTGGATTGCCTTGCCCAGCCTAAATGCAAGGGAAAGTGCTTAGACTTATGGCAACTTGGTTTGCTGATACCCCATGGGAGGCCTGTTTCTTTCTGAACAGAAACAGAAGAGGAGTAGATTGAGGGGGAGGAGGGCAGAGGGGAGGGAATAGAAGAGGAGGGAGGGGAAACTGCGGTTGGATGTAAAATTAATTAATTAATTAATTAATTAATTAATTTTAAAAAAGAATGTGGGCCTTATGGGAAGACTTTGGGTCTCACCAAGCTGGATGATAAAGCTAGAGAGATTTATGGGTCTGGGTATGTTTAGAGAGATGAGCATGCACTCTCCAGAGTCAATCATGCTGACTCTGGGAAATGAGGAGCTCAGAGGTCTCTTCCTAAACCCTTTCATTGCCTTCCCCACTGTTCTATGATGCAGGACACTGAGCTTTTCAGGATCCAGCATTCCCTGGGAAAGGAGCATGTGAGGAAGGTGGGTACCAAGTACATGCTGGTTATTACCAACATAAACATGAGCAATGCCAGTGTCTACAGCCTGACTGTGGGAGACAACTGGATGAGTGCTGTGCTAGCTTGAGAATGAGAATGCCCCGCCCCCCGCACCCATAGGCCCATATATTTGAATACTTGGTCCCGAGTTAGCAGAACTGTTTGGGAAGGATTAGGAGGTGTGGTCTTATTGGAGGAGGTGTGTCACTGGTGACGGCCTGGAGTTTCAGAAGCCCATGTCATCTCCAGTAAGCTCTCTCTGCCTTGTAGTTATGTCTCAAGACGTGAGGGTTCAGCTACTGCTCTAGTGCCATGCTTCCTGCTGTGATACTTATGGCAGCTAACCCTCTGAAACTGTAAGTCCCAAATAAGTACTTCCTTTTATAAGCCATAGAAAAGTGACTAAGATAAGTGCACAGTTCACCATGCTGGAAAGTAGACATATGAAAGTAAGCATCTAGGCCCAAAAGGCCTGTCAGGGTGAGGAATGGCCTTGAAGGGTTTATGGCCATATTGGAGAGAGGACTGTGGTCTATGCATGAAAGGACTACATGGGATGGGTGTTAGTGTAAAAAGGAAACATGAGCTATAAGGTATATATATTCCTTAAAAATTATGAAATAGTGTCATGGGACAGTGTGGCATAGTGGTTAAGAGGACAGACTCTGGAGTTAGACTACGGGGGTCCATGTCCCAGCTTCTGCTACGTATGGATGCGTGATTTACATACAGCAAGTTGTCTTATTTCTTTGCCCAAGTTTCTCTCTGTGTAAAATGGAAAAATCATAATAGAACCTTACCTAGATGAGAATTAAAATAATCAATATGTGAAAATTAGCTACAATAATGCCCATCAGATCTCTCATACTACATAAGTTTTTTAATGTTGTTAATATTCCTGGAGGAGAGACCGTGTGACTAGCACAAGATGAGACTCCAGAGCAGATGGAGGTTAGCGAGTGGAAGGCAAGGAAGGGTGCTTTCCCAGCCGTGGGCCACAGGAGGTCAGTGACCCCTGTGTCTGCATTCTCCTTCATGGTCCACCTCCCTGCTCTCTGCTGCAAATGAGCCACTGAAGTTCACGGAAGAAGTGAAACTAGAGATGGTGACAATGACAGACATTGGTGATGGAGACCCGCCACACCGAGAAAGAGACTTGATTTTGTGCGGAAGTTCAACAGGAATGAGCTGAAGAGGGGTGACAAGTAGGAGATCTCAGGCCGTGAGGTTGGTCTGACCTAGACACTTAAGATCAAAGATGCTAGACTCGGCAACAGTGGCAAGTTCTCTGCCCAAGCAGGAGCTTCGTACAGAGGCTCATATCACATGTCAGATCACTCATATCACTATGAGTGGTTCAGTGAGAGCTGGAGGGGTCGAATTCATGTCACGGCAGCCCCTATGTGTCCATCCATCCATCCATCCATCCATTCATCCATCCATCTATCTGCTCTTGGCAAGGCTCTGTGATGGGTACTGAAAAGAGAATGATCTTCTAGTAGGGGAGACAAGTGTGAAAATGAAATTATAATAGTCACTAACCTGAAGTTAACACACACCCTGGGGTCATATTCTCAGCTGGGTAATCATGAACCAAAAAATTGCTAGCTTTTAGCTGTGTGACATTCTCTGTGGAAATATGAATCCACATCTGTTCACCCCCAGATAAGCCCAAGTATCTGTTGCATGTAAGGACCTCTGAAAATAGAAAGGTTCAAAGATGCTGGGCCAGCCCATATGGTCATAGCCCCCACCCCATTGCCACCAGTTCCTCCCCATCCCCTGATGCCTTGTCCTGTAGATCTCCTTCTATTGACTCATCCATCCGGAAACACTAGCTTCCCTGTGACCATGAAAATACGCTACACAGCTTACAAGCAAGGCTATTGCTCAAAGTGACCTGATATAAGATGTTATGTAGGTGACCGAGAAGGAGCATGTGTCGGTGGAGCACAGAGAAGACCAGTACACCATCTCCGATTGTGTACATAAAGACATCAATTTGGTCCTGCTCAAGCTCAAGAATAACAGTCACACAGCAACTGCTCCTGGTGTGCACCTCAATATGCTAGGTGAAGGCATGGTCACCGGGTTGTCTGAGAGCGCCAGCTGGCCAGTAGTCAGAGTGGGTGACTAGGAAGGAGGCCCTAGACATTGGTTGAGTTTTGACTAGGAGTAGAATTGGAATACTGGCTTTGTGACCAGAAGCTGACTGCCTAATTTCTTTCTTTCTTTCTTTTTTTTCTTTTTTTCTTTTCTTTTTTTTTTTTTGCTATTGCTGTTTGTTTGTTTTTTGTTGTCATTGCTGTTGTTTGTTTTTTCGAGACAGGGTTTCTCTGTGTAGTTTTGGTGCCTGTCCTGGATCTCGCTCTGTAGACCAGGCTGGCCTTGAACTCACAGACATCCTCCTGCCTCTGCCTCCCAAGTGCTGGGATTAAAGGTGTGCACCACCACCACCCAACCTGCCTAATTTCTTAAGCGGCCTTGGTCAAGTAGACCTCTCTAAGCCTCAGTTTCCCACCAGGAGAAGGGTAGAGCTTTACCCTAGCATCTATTTCTAATGCTTCTCAAATGCGCAGCCAAGTGCACAGCACGTAACACATCTTCCAGTGATCACGTGAGTGTTGCTGTGGACTAAACAATGATGAGGTTGGAGGTAAGGAGATGAGGTGAGAGGGAGATGGGACTGAGGAGCAGAGGTTAGGCTGGTCAAAAAGAGCACTGAGGTGAGAAGTAACACAATGAGATGGGAGGGCAGAGGGTTGGGATAAAATGAGAATAGAAAACTGGAGTTGGGATAGGAAGGGAATTTTAGATGGGTTTGAACGTGATGAGGAGCTGGCCTTGTGACCTTCAAAGTCCACCACATACACACACACCATCATGCCACAAAACTGGGTCAGGGAAGGTTTGCATTTTCATTCAGTTTACCACCCCTGTGTTCTTGGTGTTGGGGACACACGGATGCAGTATACCCAAACGAGTAAAACTAGTAGACAGATAAGTAACTGTAACCCCAGACGACAGTAACACTAGAAAGCAGGGGTATTCTGGAGCCTCAGGAAAGGGAGAGACCTTGTCTGGGAGAGGGTTGTGGTGTGAATGGCAGCTAAACAGGGGTTGCCAGGGGCTACAGAGCACCGATTTCCAGGTAGGCAGGAGGTTCAGAGAGGCAAGGATCAAACTCCCTAGGCATATCTTAGGAGTGCTGGACACAGGATAAGGGAGGATCCAGAAAATTCAGAGTTGAGTTATGCCCCAGGCTAGCCAGACCTCTGGTCAGTGAGATGCCCTTCTGTCCCTTTGTTCCAAAGCCCCATTTGTGAAGCTGTTGTCTGTCTCTAGATTGTCCGAAGCCTCGCCAAGGCCAAGTGCAGTTCCTGGAGCTCTTGGTTGACTGTGTGCACAGGAAATGGAAGGCCCACCTGTAAAACAGTTCATAGTAGAAGTACTGGATTAAGACAAGAGAGATGGATGACAAAGTGGCCAACTTCACCACCCAAGCAAAAGAGGAGAAAACTTACACACTCTGTATTCTGTTCAGAGGGTGGCAGTAACCCAACTGAGACCGAGAAAGTCTTTGCAGCAAATCCAATAGTTGAGAGATTGCTTCATGTTAATGGGTGCACCTAGTGGTCATGATGGGGGCCTTTGGCCACTGAGGTATGCTGATCTGCAGGGAATACCACAGGCTCACCCACTAACTGTTCTGTCGGGCATTCTGATTGCAGATGAAAAGCAAATGTCATTACAAGAATCAGTTCCACTTCTTTCTTCACTCCAGAGATCATTTTGGAAGCGGGGTGCATGACACCAACTTGGGGATAAGCTTGAAACCACTTTCACTTTTCCAAAGAAAACTCTTGGCAGTACCGGCATTTTAATTATGACTCTCAATTAATTACCGGCTGCACCCCTCCCAACTGATTTCAGGGGTCAGTGTGTCGAGACTGAGAACTGTGGCACCAGAGTCGCAGGAGTTGGAGGACTTGTACTGCCACACCTTACACATAAAACCATTTGGGCTTTAGTAAATGCTCACGCCTCCCTCTACCCCCAAGAAAATCCAATTAGGAAATTTTGAATTAGGACCCAGACACTAATTGGTGGTGGTGGGTTTCCACACATTGACCCTTTAATGTTTAACCAGCAGTAACAATCATAGGTTTAAGGTGTTTTAAAGAGGAACAGAAGTCAACATGGGTTATGGAAATATCTACATGCTCCCCTTCTTTACTTTTTCTCTCTGTGTGTTACCTACAGAACCCCCTGGCCTTGCCTCTCAGCCTCAAGTGGCTGATGTGACCAGGGAATTGGTGACCATAACATAGAATATCCCTGCCCAGGATGGGGCAGGGCAGTGCTTGGCTACTTTGTCAAGTGGAGAAAGAAAGGCAATAATCTGTGGATGCCAGTCAACAAGGACCCCATCCAGGGTGAGGTGCTTGGAACAGAGGTTCTAAGTCAGGAGGGGGTGGGACAAGGAAAGTCTTGCGAGTAAGCATACTCCCTCCTCAAGCTCCTTGAAGAGTTTCAACATCCCATTATCTCCTCTTCTGTAGCATCCCACTCTGTGGTCTCTTATCTCATAGATGCCCCTAGCTTCATGACCCCTCATCTTCCCACCTCAGGTACAGAGTATATTCTGGATGGAGGACACAGAATGTAAATTCCCAGTTATAGCTGTGTATAAGGCCACCCTAGGACATCCCAGCATGCCAATCAGTTCAGTGGTAGCCAAGGACCCTGTTGGTATGAGGCCAAGTCCAACACGTTAGTGGAACAAGCCCCTTTAAGAGAGGATGTCCTCACTGGGAAAAGTCTGACAGGAAGGGCTACAGCCTCACTCTCTGGCAATTGCCAGACTCATAGAGGAGCAGGATTCACACTCAAGAGAAAGCCAGCAAATAAAAATTGAGCATCTGGGACAGTGAGAAGGCGGGGTGAGCAGAGTTTTTATCAAGCTTTGCTGTCTCGTGTTGGGGAAGTGAGTAAGTGTGTTGAGATTGAGTGAGGATAGCGGATGGATGCTTAGGAGGCCTTGAGTTGAGGATGTGAGGTGGGAATGCTGCTTGTAAGTGGATGTGGTGGAAATGGCTAAATTAAAGCTGGATTTTGAATGTAGGGGAGTTGAATGTAGGAGAGTTGAATGCATAGAGTGTATTGAATTTTGAGAATACTGAAACTACTGAGTTGGTAAAATAAATTGGCACGCCAGGCAGTGGTGGTGCACACCTTTAATCCCAGCACTCAGGAGGCAGAGGCAGGTGGATCTCTGTGAGTTCGAGGCCAGCCTGGTCTATAGCGCGAGATCCAGGACAGGCACCAAAACTACACAGAGAAAATCTGTCTTGAAAAAAATTTTTAATAAATTGGCACATTGTTGAATAATTAAAGTTATATATTAAGAGTGGTCGCTGTGGGAGCCGCTGTAGAAGTGGTGAACACTAGGATTCAGGCATACTGAATGTGAGAACTAGGCATGGGGTTGGGATGGATGAATTTGGAGATCAACTGGATATCTGTGCTACCCTAGAAACTCCAGGCCTGGTACAGGGCCAAAGTATGTCTGATTCCTGCAACTCAAGCATCTCCCTTGGCTGGTGTGAGCCTGTAGAAGGGACCCACCATCCAGCTACATCCTTGACATGAGAACTGAAGGCAGCAAACAGAAGAGCAAGTACATGGACGACCCCATCTCTGATATCTGCTACACAGCAGGGATCCTCACCAAGAAGCAGAAATACTTCTTCCATATCCGAGACATCAATGAGGCTGGGGTTGGAGACCCTGTGGAGCTAGATGAGGGCCCACGCGACACCACTATCAGGTGAGCACACAGAACTATAGGTCCAGGTCCAACATCCCAGTTCCAAACCTTTCCCCTGAGGCTTCATCCCACAGAGAAAGATGTGGCGATGTTCTGATCAAGGAAAACCCATCCATACTTCTTATGCCTGGACAAAGCCAAGGGTAATCTCTGGGATCCCTTGCTTGAAAAAATATGAAACAAACACTGTGCCGAATTAGTATCTCTGTGTGTCCTTGGAGGCGTAAGGAAAAGAGAAACAAATTAAGATGCAGGACCTGCCTTCCAAGATCTTACTTGTTGGGAGACACAGATGAAAATGTAAATGTTTCCCAGTGTTCCAGGACAGCCAGACATCTTTGTATGGCCTGTACCGCAGCCACTAAAGGGGCTGGGAAAGGCTCTGGAGGGGAGGCTTAAAGCTGAAGAGCAATCCATGCCCTTCCTCCCCAGCTGTCCCTAGGTTTGACCTCAGCACCTAGCTAGAGCCAGACAGTGGTGGGTGCTGGGACGGCCCTCTGCGCCTATGCAGCCTTCTCTGGGTTGTCCCCGACTCTGCTCCCCATACAGCCCCCTGCAGCAAGCTGGGTGTTGTAGGCACTATTGTCTGTGGCTAGTTCTGCCACTCACCAGGTCCCTGGAGCCTAGGAGACTATTTGATAACGAGAAAAGCCTTCTTCCAAATACTCTCCCGGTGACTGACTATGCTGTCTCCAATTACCACCCAGGACTCACCACTACCTGCTGTGACCTGGCAGAAAGACAGCATTACTATCAAGGGCTGGAAAACCACCACCAAGGTCAAAAACTATCCCCAGTTCCTCATTAGCAGCACCAAGTGTTCCGACTAAGGAGTGTGTCGGACCTTGCTCCAGAATGAGTGTGGAGGCGCACACTATGGTGTCTACATGCCAGTGGTAGGTACAGTAAGAGGCCCGGGGGGCTGCGCTCCTTACATATCACCACATGCATATGGTACGTGCAGGAGGCAGTGAGCAGCGGCCTCTGGGAGGTATCATCGCACACTTCCCGTGTGCTTGGGGCAGGGGCAGGTGGTGGCAGAGGCCTTCTGTAGCTATCCTTGCACACTCCACCAAACATAACTCCCCACGGCTCCTTACCAACCTAAGACACAACCTTTGCCGGCGAGTGGGCTGGGAGGCCTACTTTGACACCACAAACCAAGGCTTCATCAGCCTTTGACTGGTAGAGAGGTTTTTTGGTTTTGAAATGGTTTGGTTTGGTTTGACCCTTTTATCTCAGAGTCCTGGAGCCCAGGAGTCATTGACGCAGGGCACAGCCCTTGTTTCAGAGTCTGTGGCTGGTCATATCTGATGAGATATGAAGCATAAACAGAGTACAATCTGCAAGGAAAGAAGCTGAGAAGGGGTGAAGGGCAGGAGCTACCAGTGCAGAGGAATCTACTGAAAACTGGGGGTGACTGCTGAGGTCTGAACAGTGCAGAAATAGAAAAAGATGAACCTTTATTGACTATTAACTACGTGGTTATTAACTACATGGTGGCCACGTTATCCCTTAACCCTGTAAAATAAGCAGCCATTGTTAGTCTATAATAATGAGGCAATGGGTATCATAAAAGACATGTGACTTGCCAAAGGTCACAAGCTATTAAATGGCAAGATGATACTTCACAAACAGGTTTTTCTGACTGCAGGACATCTGCTGCCTACCACTCACAGAAGGAAAGTGTGTGGTTCCATCTTCCAACAGGCTGGGCAGGTGGGTGGGGAGGCTAGGGTGAAGGCCCAACTTCTGTCCCCAGGGTAGCTAACAAACTTCCAATTCTTCCAGATTTCTCCAGACCTCCTGCAAACCTATGGCCGTGTGCCCACACGTGAGTGACTCTGACCTGGAACCACAATGCTGATGTCCAGGAAGACGGTGATGACCACTATGTCACCGGCTGGTTCACTGCAGCCAAGCGTGTCTTCAGCAACAAGTGTATGGTGACCAGGCAGGAAATGCTACTTCAGACTGGTGGTTCAAAATGAAATGGCTGACAGCGACCCACTGCACTCCAAGAATACCTGGCTTGTCAATAAGGACCAGAGTGAATACAGGACTGGGGGCCTGCTCGGGAAGCCCTGATCGTGAAGAGGGCATAGGGTCACTAAAGGGTAGTGTTAAGGTCAGAGAGCCAAGAGATCGGTTATCACTTAGAGCTCTTTGAGAAACTCAGCAGAGATGTTATCTGGTGGGTGCTTTCAGTGATGTGACTGATACGGAGATGGGAAGGTGCCCTTGGGGGCCCAGATAATAGTGAGGGAGAGGAAGATTACAGAGCCAATTTGAAGCCTGCTAGAGAGAGGGACGGTTAAGGGCGAGGGCTGGGACTCTGGAAAACAGTGGTAAAGTCTGAAGAGATAGAGATAACATCAGGAAGCTGGAAATGAGGGTTCAATGGGGCAAAGAGGACAACCTAAACGCTGACTTGGCATAGGGGAAGTCTGGAGGAAGAGTTCCATGCCAGGGAAAGAGCTGAGAACACCAGGATCCAAAAAGTAGGTATGGAGAAGGCATCTAGATTCCCCCCAGTCTAGGAAAGCATAAAAACCCATGAGACTGCTTCAGCTAGTCAAATCCTGGAGTGGGGAGGGGCACTGAGAGTGTACAAAAGTCCTTAAGAACTGTGTATATGCGATAGCACACACCTTTATAGTCCCAGCACTTGGGAGACAGAGGCAGGTGGATTTCTGTGAGATTGAGGACAGCCTGGTCTACAAAAGCTCCAG